TCTCCCATTGTTTCCAATGGGCAATCCTGTCCTTCCTTTTAGTAGATCCCCTTAAATATAATCACTTTTATTACAGTGTCCGAATCCTTTGTTCTTGGAATAGCTCCTGCTTTCCAGTTATGGCAGATGTACTTGGTGGCTTCGTATTTGCATGAATTAACATAATGTGTGTCCCTAAATCGTATCTGAGAATAAAAAAACAGAAGCCCTCGAAGGTGCGGAGGCGGGGAAAGGAATCCTGATGAAGCCTCGCCCCAATTCCCGGTCTCCAGGAATCCTGGAGTCCGAGCGCCTCCGTCTCGTGACTCGCCGATTGTTTCTCTCGTTACCAAGAGCAACCGCTTCCTTAGCAACCATCGCCCAAGAGGGCGCCGGCCACGCGGTGCCCATTTCAAAGATGGAGGAGATAGCGTTTCCGCCCCGTCCGTAGAGATGAACAAGAAACTTCCCACTTTAGCTTTCCTAGCTCCACGGGCGTGGAGATCTGGGTTCATCAGAGAAGGCAGCATCCTTCTGAGGACACGGATCACCCTGCTGTACAAATCCTCGTTCTGAAAAGGCAGAGCCCAAAGGAGTTCCCTGACCCAATATGGCGAGAGAAACCAACTTCCGGCTTCCCATGAACAACTTTCTCGCGCTTACAAAATGGCGCCCGCCATAACTTCTGGCGCCTCATGGCTGTTTTCACAAAGATGGGAACACGAATATGACTCTCGGCTCAGGAAATAAAGAGGTCTCGGGTTCCTAGGAACGCGAACCGGAGCCGAGCTGCTTTCCCCCCGTTCCTATGGTCCTTTCTGGAGTTCGGAAGCTGTCCGTACAAGATGGCGGCGCCCTGCGTTGGAGGAGGTCTTAACCTTGGAGGGGGCGTGGCGGCCTTCCCGTGCAATAGGCTAACCAAGGCATTCCAAAATGGCGGCGCCCGTTGGGTTTCTGTGTAAAAATGGCGGCTCCGGGCGTTAATTTCTGACCGCTGTGAAGACAAAAGCGCCTTTTTAAAATCGTCGGAATGGCAAGTTGCGCGACGAAGAAGTTGGGTATGGAGCTCTGAAATGAGGGGTATAATTGTTTGGTGGAGGAATGCGGCGCACTTTGGTTTTGGGCAAGCAGCTTAAAATGGTTCAGGCGTTGCACCGGTGATGGATTTGTAGTACCTTAACCTGTCGATGCTGTATCTTTTTCCTGCCTTGGAAACGGGCTTATACGGTCCGCCTAGCAGTGTGCAGTAAAGCTCTGAAGAACGCAACTGAAATAGTGCTCTGGCGCTCTGACCCTAAAGTGAAACATGTGCTTTATCAGTTGTCAGCAAATATAATCCGTCACTGAGCTTAAATTATTTATGTGCCTAATATTAGCTTTTTTTCAACGAGCTGAAGGGGATGCGTAGTGCTTGCCTTCTCTGTTTAGGAGACAGTGACTAGGCCAAGGTGATTCGAACCCAGATCTCCAAGAGCCTAGTCTGCACCATGCTGCCTTCTGCTACTTTAAATCGCTTTGACCGTGGTTCACCTCGGATCTTAATGAGGACACCTGTTGTAAAACGTTTGGTGTAGTGGTTAAGTGTGCAGACTCTAATCTGGGAGAACCGGGTTTGATTCCCCGCTCCTCCATTTGCACCTGCTGGATGACCTTGGGCAAGCCATAGTTCTGGCACAGCTGTTCTTGAAAAAGAGCAGTCTCTGTCAAGAGCTCTCTCAGCCCCACCTACCTCACAGGGTGTCTGTTGTGGGGAGGGGAAGGAGTTTGTAAGCCGCTCTGAGACTCCTTTGGGTAGTGAAGGGCAGGGTATAAATCCAACGTACACAAATGAGTAGCATTGTGTCATCAAACTCAGCTGTGAGGTCCTTGAGTCAATTTTACCCCTGTTATGAAAACGCAAGATGGTGGCAGGTAAGCCACCAAATCTCACCATGGACCATTCAGACTTACCCTATAAGGTCATTGTGGTTACTACCATGATGCCTCAAATGCTATATGGAAGTTTTTTTGGCAAATATGGTTCTTCCACACCACTCTTGCCTTTACAACAACCCTTAAGGGTAGGCTGAGAGAGTAACTGGGCAAGATCAACTAGTTACTTCTGTTATGAAAACGCACGATGGTGGCAGGTAAGCCACCAAATCTCACCATGGACCATTCAGACTTACCTTATAAGGTCATTGTGGTGGTTACTACCATGATGCCTCAAATGCTATATGGAAGTTTTTTGGGAAATATGGTTCTCCCACACCCCTCTTGCCTTTACAACAACCCTTAGCGTTACGGTAGGCTGAAAGAGAGAGTAACTTGGCAAGATCAACTAGTTACTTTCAAGGTAGGGTCAAAATTTGAACCCAGGTCTCTCCAGTGCTAGTCCAGTATTCTCACCAGTATGCCACAATGGCTCTTAATTTGACGGGAATTATTTGTGTTTTAGGGTGCAGGCGCTACTTACTCTTCCGTTTTCTTGTCCTGCTTTTGCTCCGTAGGATCCCAGCTGACAAAAATTGCTTTGGCGTCGCAGAGCTTCCACTGCAGCTCTGCAGACCAGGCTGGTGGGCCGTGGAGATTGAAGTGAGTGCCAGAAAGAGCAGATACAAAATTAGAACTGATGGGGATCCTGGAAATTTATTTATCATTCGATGGGGAGGCCGTAAGTGGATTTAGGAGCAGCGAGCATTGTAGGGGTTTATCTGGTGGTTTCTGGTAAGGTATGAAGGTGACTGGTGGTTTCTGGTAAGGTATGAACATGGGCCTGCGGTGGCTCAAGTGGTTAAGACGCTGAACTGCAGACCGGAAGGTCGGTAGTTCAGCAGTTCGAGACCCGGGTGCCGCATCCCGTCTCTGGCCCCAGCTCCTGCCAACCTAGCTGTTTGAAAGCAAGAAATTGCAAGTAGATAAATAGGTACCACTTCAGTGGGGAGGTAACAGCGCTCCGTGCGCCTCGGCGTCTAGTCATGCCGGCCACATGACCACGGAAACATCTTTGGACAGCGCTGGCCCTTCGGCTTGGAAACGGAGATGAGCACTGTATCCCTAGAGTTAAATTCAACTGGCTTTCGAGCAAGGGAAACCTTTGCCTATGAAGGTGAAGGCAGGTTCTGGTGGTAGGACGGAGCCGTGACATTGGAAATGTACGTGAAAACACAGGTGGAATTGTTGGAGGACAAAGGTTCTCCGTAAGTAAGTTTTTCTCTTGACTCTTGCATAATTTTTGCAGCTTTATTAAGCGTTTAACCCTCCTTGTTCCTTTCCAGGCACGCAATGCCTGAGAATGGGTCGCAGTACGGGCCCATGACAGACCTGCCCGACTGGTCATTTGCTGGTAAGAAGTGTGTGAGAGTGTGTGTTGAAGAGTTGCCCATATCCTTCTGTTCCTTTGATGCACCAATACACAAAATCATTATCTCTCTTTTCCCCCCCCAAAAAATTGATTAATCTGGAATAAAGCCAGGGTTAGCTGTTTGCTTTGGTGAAAGGGGTGTTTCAGGAAAGAAGCAGGTGAGCACCACGAGTGCCATGTTGGGGAACGCTGTATGTTTTATGTATTTTACAAACTTTATATCCCACCTTTCTGCCTTCACAAGGGCCACCAAAGTGGCTCACAAGTTTTAAAACCATTCAAAGGGGAGTGGTGGCACAGGGGATTTATCCTCTGGTTAAACATCTGAGCTGAACAGGACTGCTGTCAGTTCGAGCCCCGCACTGGTGTGAGCTACCAGCCGTGTCCCCAGCTCGCCGTCTACCCAGCAGCTCGAAAGCTTTGGCGAGTAGATAAAATGGGTACCACTCCTTAGAGAGGGTGGGCACACTTAACCCCCCCGGTGGGAAGTGTTAGCTGACAAACGGAAGGTCCGCGCATAAGATCAAAAGCCGAGAGAGATCTACGCAACATCAAAGAAAAAGCCTGCAATGGGCCATTCCGGCCAGACGGTGGCAGTGGTGCGCTGCGACTGAGAAAAATGCTGACGACATCAAGCGACGCCGACTAAAGAATGCTGCCGGAACACGTCTGATGCTTACAGCTGACCAAACTCCCTGTCGACTGCAAAGTGTGTGCGATTAAAAATGATATATGTTGTCCTCCCTTACTCCCATCATTGTTAGTCCCGTGAAACACATGAGTAACTGTAAATCGCTCAGAGCCGGCAGCTCTGCAAGGATTGAGCAATCAATAAATTGAAATTGAAAGATTAACCCATCTCCCCAAAATCACAGATCATTAAAGCAATTTAAAACCAGAGCTAAAAAAACATACAAAGACATGGAAACGACAATTAAAACTGTTAAAATCTGTATTATATTTGTCACGCACATGTAACACTTAATCGACATATAGCCTGTTTTTGTTTTTGCTAATCAGATATTTCAGTTGAACTGTTTTGGGGTGCTGGAGAGTTGTTGCAGTATTTATGGAGCATGTGAGATGAACATGGGCATGTGAGGTGAACATGGGTTTTTCTTGTGCAATACAATTTAAACAAACACGCTAAATGAGACCCATGTTTACTTTTGGACCTCAGGAAACCTTCCAGTCCAAAATGTTCCAGAAAACCCACATCACTGATGTTAAGTGATCTTTAGTGGCAAGTCCACAGGATCACGTGCAGGGGAAAGTGCAAAATAGCAGTTCAGGTGTCTTCTAAACCTCTTTCCCTCTTCTTCCTAGATGGCTGCCCTGCCCCACCAATGAAAGGTTACCTTCGTCGGAAGGAAAAGAACACAGAGTTTGTAGTAAGTGAAGTGTCAGTTGTAAAGTACAAAAGTTTGAGTGGGGTGTGGGGGGTTAGCTCTGGGGAACTAGTTTCTAGTAGCAGGATTAACCCTGGAGCCTGTGAATTAAGTTCCACTGAACATGTTCCCTGGGCAGCCCGCTTCCCTGCCTCATCTGGCATAAGGTGCCAGGCTTCCAGGGATGCTTGATTTCTGATGTATTTATATAACAGCTGTAGATACAACCCTGTTTTTAAAGTCATCTTCTCCCTCAAGGAACCTTGGGAACTGCGGTTTTGCAAATTCTAAGGATTTGTTGAAGACCGCTCAGTTCCTTTACACATCTCCCAGTTACTTTTGCTGGGCTAAATCCAAAAGCACAAGCCATGCAAATACTTTTTATTAAGACCAACCGAAAAAGAACACAAAATAGGGTACAAGATTTTGAGCGTTCCAGAATTCTTCATCAGGCTGGATGTTTTGAAAAAGACAAATGGTGTGCAAGGCCCCGATCCTTAGTCCTCTCCTCTGCATCTTGTCAGGCATACCTGAATAGCTAAAGTGATGTTTCGCAGCACTGATATCAGCTGGCTCCTTCGGCCTTCTAAGAAGTAGTAGTTTATAAACTATACAAGCCAGTGAAATGTGTCTCTAAAAACCAAAGTTTATTTGATTTCTTGTTCTCCCGTTAAATAACGTGACCCGGGTTTGACCTTTACCTGATGCTCCCATCTGAAATCTCCAGTTTTGAGTTTTATGACTTCCACATTTTTTCTTGGCTCGTAGGCCTTTGAGAGAACTCGTGTCTGGGAGGCACTTGACCAATGACCAGTCTTTATATTTTCAACTGGAGGCTTCTATTTTTCCTCCTCATCCTTCCCAGAAGGCCAAAGGCACAACCTGAGACCAGCTCCATCCAGTATCACTTTAGCTATTCAGATCCTGCAGGCCTTGTAAATGAGACGCAGAGAAGAAGCCTGAAGATTAGGGCCTGTAACATCATTGTTCTTCAACATCCAGCCTGAGGAAGATTTCTAGAGAACCCAAAAGGTTGTGCGCTGTCAGTGCAGGCGTTGTCTTGGTTTGGGCCAAAGCAGCTTCCCACAGACACTTGGGTGGGAAGGGGACGCTTGAAACCATTTCCGTGTGTGATGCTGACATGCCTGCAAAATAATAACCGGGATGTGGGATTCCTCTGTCTGCTTCTGCTTCTCAGACACAGCTAACCCTTCTCGTCTTCCCCCTTCAGCGTCGTTTAGCCATGATCTCTTCAGAGGTTGACCACAGGATGGAGAAGTGGGCGGCCAAGGTGAGGGAACAAGAGCAACAGGCCGAGGAAAAGCGACGCAACAGGCTCCAGCCAAAAGGAGGGATCCTTCCCCCGGCCCCCAAATAAACATTCATATAAATATTTTTGGTCCTCATCCTTGCTTTGACCTTCATTTTGCACACCTGCTGCCCTGTGTGGCAGCCATTTTTTACACTGTGTGTGTGTGTGGGGGGGGGGTGGATATAGCATCTTAAATGGGGCCATTGGGAAAGAGCAAAAGGGACAACAAAGTTGCTCCGGCAGGGGCTTTTCTGTTGGCTTGTCGACTGAGGGGCAGCACAGCCTGTGCGGGAGCTCTGCGGCTTTAAAAGATACATATATCACTTTTCCATCACACGCTCAAAGTGATTTCCAGATATATAGGTTATACCATAAGCATCAGGGCTATCTTTGGGCAGGAACGGAGTTCCGGCTGGCTCCCGAGTTGGCCACGCCCAGCAGGAACTCATTAGCATAACGGGCCACACCCAACAGCAGAAACTCATTAGGATTGGCTACATTAGGGGTGTGTGGCCTAACATGCAAAGGAGTTCCTGCTACAAAAAAAGGCCCTGGGTTTTGACGACAACAGAAGGCAAACAGAATAACAAGCAAAAGGTGGGTGTGGCTGGATGACCACACTTCTGGTAACGTGGGTGCGGCCTAATGTGCTAATGAGCGGTGCTGTCAGGGGTGTGGCCCAATATGAGTTCCTGCTGTTGGGTGTGGCCTATTATGCTAATGAGTTCCTGCTGGGCTTTTTCTACAAAAAGCGCCCTGATAAACATTAAACCCCACAACAATAATTTCAAACAACTGGCGCAACCCAGGCCCCATTTAAGAAATTAAATTCGGCCTTTTTTTCCCCCCCCCCCCCCTTTAACAATTGCCAGGCCCCGACCCGGATAGCCCAGGGTAGCCAGATCTCTGAAGCTATGCAGTGTCGGCCCTGCTTAGTGTTTGGATGGGAGACCTCCAAGGAATACCAAAGTTGTGATGCGGGGGCAGGCAACGGGAAACACTTTGGAAGTCTGTTGCCTTGAAAAACCTACAAGTCAGCGGTGGCTTGATGGCGCTTTCCTCCACCACCACCACCAAAGATGGCCAGAGATGATACTTCCTTTGCTTCTCTAAGAACTAGTGTGAGGCTAAGAAAGACTGTGGAGCTGCGGTGGCTCAAGTGGTTAAGACGCTGAACTGCAGGCTGTGGAAGGTCAGTAGTTCAGCAGTTCGAGACCCGAGTGCCGCATGATGGAGTGAGCTCCTGTCTCTAGTTCCAGCTCCTGCCAACCTAGCAGTTCGAAAGCCAGAAATTGCAAGTAGATAAATAGGTACCACTTCAGTGGGAAGGTAACAGTGTTCTCTCAGAGCTGTTCTCTCATGAGCAGTTCTCTCAGCCCCACCTCCCTCGCACTGTTCCCTCTAAGCTGAGTTAGTGTGAGCTAGCTCACAGTTTTTTAGCCTGCGGCTCACACATTTTTGTCCTAGCTCAGGAAGGATGGCTCCAGAGTCCGGACCAAGGCTAATTGATGCAGTAGCCAAACCGCTCGCTCACAGCTTTAATGCCAGTCGCTCACAAAGTAGAATTTTTGCTCACAAGACTCCACAGCTTAGAGGGAGTGTTGGTGGTGTCGATTGTGGGGAGGGGAAGGGAAAGGAGATTGTAAGCCACTCTGAGACGTCTTCGTTTATTGAAGGGTGAGGTATAAATCCAATCACTTCTTCTAACCTGTAGAACTGGAAGTAGAACCCGGGGTCTCCAATGTGGCACTATGGGCAGGGTGATACCCACTGGCACCTTTCCTTGTGCCTGCCAAGTGTTTTCGAAAATGGGTGGGGCCACATGGAGTTTTGCCAACAGCAGATCTTTGACTGGCCATTGGCAATTTGATTGGCTGTGCTGATGTACAAAAGAAGATACTCCTTTGGCAGCAGCTGCCACCAGGACCCAAGGATCTTCGCTTTAAAACAATATGTCCATTTAAAAAGGCATCCTGTTAAATAGATCTGCCTGAAATGTTGAAGAGTTGGGCTGTAAGAGTTATGCATTATCTAAGTTCCTGACATTTTGTAGTTGCTTCCACCACCTTATTGTCAGAATTCCAAATGAACTTTGGATGTATATTAGCCACTCTCTGGAATAATGAAACGAGGCGCCTTTCAGTTGATTTGTAGAACGCCCGATGTAACGTGCATATTGAAGATGAGTAAGTATTAGTGAAGATAAAGAAATTAGAAATATTTGAGTGTTATGTATAGATGTATATAGTGTTATGTATAGGAGCTGCGGTGGCTCAAGTGGTTAAGACGCTGAACTGCAGGCTGTGGAAGGTCAGTAGTTCAGCAGTTCGAGACCAGAGTGTGCTGCATGACGGAGTGAGCTCCCGTCTCTAGTTCCAGCTCCTGCCAACCTAGCAGTTCGAAAGCAAGAAATTGCAAGTAGATAAATAGGTACCACTTCAGTGGGAAGGTAACAGTGTTCCGTGCGCCTTGGTGTTTAGTCATGCCGGCCACATGACCACGGAAACGTCTTCGGACAGCGCTGGCTCTTCGGCTTTGAAACGGAGATTAGCACCGCAACCCTAGAGTCGGATTCAACTGGCTTTCGAGTAAGGGAACCTTTACCTTATAGGTGTATAAACATTTGCGTATTCCTATAGATTATTGATTAACACTACTTGAAGATGTTTGCATGACACGCAGAAATCGTGGCTAGGAAAATAATAGGACTGTTTGAAACCCTTATTGAAGGTATTTAACCATGGATCTTTTTTCTGTCAAAAAATTTTATAAAGAAATCTTGTAAAAAAATTATTTAAAACTTTGAAAAACATATTAATGTTGATGTGTGTAAATTGTTTTATATTGAAGGTTTGTTCAGACGAAGAGACGAAACGGAACTTAATCCGGAGGTTCTCGTCAGCAATCACTTTATAACGATCAAAATAATTTCATGTATTCTTATAATCACAATTACTTCATGAATGCTTATTAATTGTATTTACTGTTACAGTGATGTCATTTAGTTTCACTTTGAGATTAATAATATACTGACATGATGATTGAATATATCTAGCGTCTTTGATGCCAGTCTGTTCATTACATATTTAGCGAGCTTTGGACTGGATTCTCCACTTTAGCCAAAATTCCAAAGGGGCCACGGGCTTAAAAGGGCCGGGAACCCCTGAAGTAGACCAACTATTACAGAGGCCAGCTCTGCTGGTCTTGAGAATGGATCGTTCCAAGAAAACAGCCCCCATGACCAATGCTCCCTCTAAGCTGAGTTAGTGTGAGCTAGCTTAGTTTTTTAGCCTCCGGCTCACACATTTTTGTCTTCGCTCAGGAAGGAGGGCTCCAGAGCGAACTAATTTATACAGTAGCCAAATTGCCCATGACCAATGCTCCCTCTAAGCTGTGTAGTCTTGTGAGCAAAAATTCTACTTTGTGAGCTACTGGCATTGAAGTTGTGAGCAAGAGATTTGGCAGCTGCATAAATTAGTTTGCTCTGGAGCCATCCTTCCTGAGCTAAGACACATACGTGTGAGCCGGAGGCTAAAAAACTGAGCTAGCTCACGCTAACTCAGCTTAGAGGGAACACTGTCCATAACATCTGCTAGCTGTGAAGGAAGTGGAAGCAGGGCAGAAGCCAGTCCCCATTTACAGATGAAAATGGCCCTGCAAGCAAATGGACAGGCACAAGTCTGTGGTACTGAGCTTTGAATGTGGGGTCCCCCGGGTCTGAATGCTGTTGCTGCCCTCCTGGGGGGTTCAAGCCAGTTTTTGAGGGGGGTTTTGAGGCCAAAATTCAACCCTGGGCCATGTCAAATAATAGTGCCTCTGGGCTTGGGCAGAAGGCAGGCAGCAGGATGCATGAGGGGGAAAAACAAACTGGTGAACACAGATGAAGCATCGGCTAATAAGGGCTTCCCTCCCCTAATGCTGAGAGCTGTAAGGATTTCAAGCGTCTTAATTCTGTCAGCGGGCCTGGCTGTGCCTTCGGAGGGTGGCTGCAGGCCAGGGTGGAAAGAATGTTGGCCTCCTTTTGGGAAACGGAGCGCCGCGTCCTCCCCTCGCACGGGTTCTCCCTTTTCCTCGCTCTTTTCTGTTTCTGCGCTCCTCTCTCGGCCCTGTGGGAACCACGGCCTGCTGGAGGTGAGGTCACAGCCTCACAGGAAGAAAGGAGGCAAGAAAGGGAAGGTTGGCCAAGAAGCCGGCGGGGTCCATTTCCTTTCTAGAGCTTGCCAAGTTTGAAAATGATGCCCCCTGGCCTTCCTCAGCCCTCGGAATTGTGCTTCTGAAGGAAGGGGAAGCCCCTGGGCAAGGCAGAGTGTGTCACCTTTTTTGTCCCAGTGGCTTCTAGTGTGAATATGATTGTATTGGGCAGTGTGGTTAATATTGGTGGAAGAGGGAGAAATCTGTAGGGTTGGCAGTGACTCGATGTTCCCTCTAAGCTGTGGAGTCTTGCGAGCAAAAATTCTCCTTTCTGAGCTACTGGCATTAAGATTGTGAGTGTGCGATGTGGCTGCTGCATACATTAGTTTGCTCTGGAGCAGTGTTCCCTCTAAGCTGAGTTAGTGTGAGCTAGCTCACAGTTTTTTAGCCTCTGGCTCACACATTTTTGTCTTGGCTCAGGAAGGAGGGCTCCAGAGCCAACTAATTTATGCAGCAGCCAAATGGCTCGCTCACAATTTTAATGCCAGTAGCTCACAAAGTAGAATTTTTGCTCACAAGGCTCCGTAGCTTAGAGGGAACATTGCTCTGGAGCCCTCCTTCCTGAGCTACGACAAAAATGTGTCAGCCGGAGGCTAAAAAACTGTGAGCCGGCTCACGCTAGCTCAGCTTAGAGGGAACACTGCTTGCCACCACCCGAAAGCCGTTGGCACGACCCGCCTTCCTTCGTCCCCCTAATCTCAAAGCCAGGCCTGGCTCGTGACTGTTCGAGCTTTCGAATACAGGAACTCGAGAGTCCAAATTTTGGGTTAGTGGCTCAGCCAGGGGTGGGAAGTGAAAAGGGAATTTGCTTTCCTTGGCTCCAAGGGCCCTCCTCTTTCCATCCCGTGGCAGTAGCGCCGACCAATGGGCAACTGATTTTACTGCGATGGGGGAAGGGGGAGATGGGGGACAAGAGTGTTGCGTTAGCTTATTTTCTTCCCCCACCCCGAGCATCTCGGCCTTGCTGATCCCAGCTGTGTTTTGAACACACTGCTCCCTCCCGCCCCACAATCGCTTCCAGATGTGGCAGCCACGAAAGCATGATGATGAGATCAGCCCCTGGGGTCTCTGCCAAGTGCACGGGACACACAAGAGAGCCAGGAGGGGGAGAAAGAGACTTGGTTTTGCTCGTCCCGGAAGGCTCTGTTTGGGTTTCATGGCCTAGCTCCATTCCACACCCACCTCGCAAATTTGGCCGGGGGGGGGGGCAGTTGGTGGTTTCTGGCTGCAGCACCCCCTCCCTTGTTTGTATCCATCAAATTATTCCTGACTCAATTGAATTCGGGAGGGAGCTGTGGTTTCACTGCCGTCACGTCGGCGGAGACAGGATACAGGGGCTGCGTCATGCCTTTATTATAGTACCTCAGGTGGGTATTTTTAATAATTTATTTGTTTCAGCCCTTTTGCATCTTTTGTTTTTCTCACAAAGCATTTTTTTTTTTGCTTTTTAAAAAACTTGTTTCCCTAGCCCTTTCGTAAGCTATGGTTCTCTGTGGCCATAACGTAAGAAAAAAAGAAAAGATGTACAGCGCGTTGAACGCTGCCCCACAAGAAAAATCGGGTGATGCTCTCTACCACAACGGAGTCCTGTTATTAAAACATTTTTTTAAAACCCTCCCCACTTTCGATGCTTATCGTACATGGCATATTTGTGAAAGACTGTAATGTCCAATTCCCCAACTCCACCCCCGCCCCGCTCTGTTGCCAGTCCAATGTTCCCTCTAAGCTGTGCAGTCTTGTGAGCAGAAATTCTACTTTGTGAGCTCCTGGCATTTAAGTTGTGAGCGAGCAATTTGGCTACTGCGTGAATTAGTTTGCTCTGGAGCCATCCTTCCTGAGTTAAGACAGAAATGTGTGAGCCGGAGGCTAAAAAACTGTGAGCTAGCTCACACTAACTCAGCTTAGAGGGAACACTGCTTGCCACCCCAGTAAGAGCCAGAGTTCAAGCTGACCCCGGAGACACAGGTCTAGAACCTTTCAAGTTCTGCTGCTCAGTCCCAGTCTGTATGAAAGTCAGCATGGTAACCCTAAGCATGGGGGTTGGACTAGATGACCCTGGAGGTCCCTTCCAACTCTGTGATTCTGTATGCAGAGCATGTTATTCTCCAGTAAGCCCACCCAATCGAATCCCTCATCACAACAATAACAAACCACTCACGGAATTTCCCAGAATTGTGGTGCTGATTTCAAAAGCTAATTTTTAGGAATCCTGATTTCAAAATGGTGTTACGCAATAATACTGGTTAATCAAAGCTTGTTTTCAAAAGAGAATCCCCACATCACAGTGGAAAAACAAGGGAATCTGACTCTGGAATCCTTGGTTTTGAATGGGACACAAAAACAAGAGCAGGAGGCTAGAAACATCCTTTTCTTCCTTCTGCGGTTCAGTCATAGCTGGAAGCACCCCATCTGGAACTATTTTTTTGATGTTCTTGAGTTGATACAGCCGGTGTACAGCAGCAGATAGTCCTGTGCTTGTGGTGGCTTACTCATACGAGCCCTCCGGGCTTAAAACTGGAAAACCCATCTTGAGATTAAGCAAGACTATGAAATTCAGTCCTCAACAGCATTTTATTTTTCATAGTTGAACCTCAGACCTGTCCCCAGGGCTATTTGTGATGTAATACAGTCACAAACCATCTCAGATTGCAGACACAAGCGTTTCAAACACGCAATTCATGCCACGTGCATTCAGAGATGGTACAGACAGGCCCCAGAAAGGACTGAACCACGGCATGACCAGTCTGAGTTCCATTTCCACCACAAGTGTCAAAAGGTGGCCACAGCACCAACTACAGGCAATACGGTGATGTTAATATTAATCTGCCTTACTGGGCTGTTGTATGCGTTACAGAGATAATGCATGTGAGATACTCTGAACTCCCTAAAGATTCAAAAATGTGCTAATTATTATTTTAGGACATAAGACTGGCTACTAAACCTTTAGGGAATGCACAGAAAGGGGTATATTTCTGTACTGACAATTCAAACATTTTTGAGCCAATGAATATTTGTGGGGAGCAGTAAGTCCAAAGTTCCACAAATCCCCCAGAGTATTTATTATTTACCCAAAAGCAAAATAAATCACACTTTAAAACAAAATACTACTAAAAGGGGGAGGGGAAATTCCAGCATTTATTATTATTATTTTTTTAAAAAAAAATTCTCTGGTGATACTTTTTAATAACAAAATAGTTCTGAACAATTTGGGGTGGGGGGGTAGAAAGGAAAACAGAAATCTTGAAAAACTCCCAGAATTTTGATTCCATTTCCACTCGGAAATGGTGTTTTTTTTATTGCTAAACATTAAAAGGAATAACAGGATTTAATAGCCTGCAGGCTCTCAGCAATGTATGTATAGACCCCTCCCAAAGAATGGGTATTTATTATTAATAGGAAAAATAATAACAATAATAATAATAAAGGTGAAACATAAAATTAAAAACCCACCCGCGAACACAAATGTATCGTTAAACGCAGTTTAATTCCGTTTGGAGACCATTTGAATACCCAGCCCGGCGTCACCCTTCCCACCCACCTAAAAATGGTCCGAAGAGGAGAGAGAGTTTAAACCCCTAATTCCCGGCCTGCAGGATTCTGGGGTTCACCTCTAACCCCTATTCTATTTTCCCCACCCTGTTAATGCACTATTTTTAATTTTTATTTTTTAAAAAAAGGCATTTCTATAGAATAATTAAAAATTACATACTCAACAAAAAAAACAACAACGTGATTTTCCCTAGGAAAGGAGGATAAGGCAGTGAGGCAGTTCTTTGGTGCGACATCGTTTCCCCTTTGCAAATTGCTAACCCTTATACATTTTTTTTGAACGTCGTAGAATCCAAAACGGATTAGAAGCAACGATTGTAAACTTTATGCAAGTATAGTCAGGTGCTGGAGTAAACACTGGTGCGAAGTTAACGTGAACCGTGCTGCCGAAATCTGAACCCACTGACCACCGCCAATCCCGTCCCATTCCACTGTCGGTAACTACCTACTCCTCCCGTTGACCAGAACAATTCTTCCTTCCTCCCTTCACTCAGACTTTTCCCATCCTGTTACATGCAGGGTACCAAGGGGCCGGCTGTGTTGTGCAGAGATGCTCCTTCTTCTCCCTCCCAACTCCGGATCAAGGTTGGTCCTTCAAGATATCCCTCCTCCAGAAGGATGGTCACTTAGGCCACGACCCACATTTCAGACTCCACCTATTGTGTTCCACCAACAGCCCTCTTCTGCTCCTTACTGGGTAATCTACATCTGTGTTTCTATTGGTCAGCCGTTGCCCCTCCTTCCTTTTCAAGCCAAGCCCAAATGGAATGACATAGTTCCTCCTGGAACGCTGGGAATGCTTCATTGCTCCCCCCATCCCCCCCCCAAAGCTTTCCTTCCCTCTGTCATCAGTGTCGCTCCGCCCACTTTCATGCAAAAGATGTCAATCCTCATAGGTGCCCATTCTTGAAGGCACACCCCTCATCTATTCATTGAGCCAATGATGAGCGTCCGTCCCCAGGGCCCTAATCCATTCCCAGTTCCCCCTAGAAATGAAAGCACAACATGAGAATACTGGGGAGAGGGCAGTAGTCAGGAGCGAGACAGAAACATTGTGGGAATTTGCAATGTCAGCTTATGCCAATGTATCAGTTGAAGGGTCAAAGTGAAGTCTTTTCTTGTGAGGTCAAGGGACGCCCCAGAGTGGGAAGGCTGCAGTGGGGCTGGAAGAATGAAAACCATCACAGAGGTCCTCTTTGGCCTTACGTTAATGAGCATGCTCAGCACACCCGCTGCGTGGAGACTGGGGGGGGTGGGGGATGTGAAAAACGGAGGGTGAGAATTGGAGGAGAGGGACGGAGGGAGAAGAACCAGGGAAGCGGATCTGGAAGGAAGAGGTGGCGGCAGGGGGAGCAGCAGGAAGGACAGGGACTAGTGTGAGAAAGTAGCACGGAAGGAAAGAAGGGGCGGGCAGGGAAGGGTGAAGGAAGGAGGCAGGCGGCAACAGGGAAGCGTGGAGCTGGTGGCAGTGAGACGAAAGGGATCCGAGGGAGGGGCAGAGGGAGGAGAGATTGGTGGCAAACGGCAGGAGAGAGGAGTGCCCCGCGCCCCTAGCCCAGGTCAGAGAGCTGCCCTGTCACACCTTGTCTAGCAGGGAGCGCTGGCAGTACAACAACCTCTTGGGCGTGCCGTAACGCTTGAAGATTAAGATGGCGACTGCCAAGGCAAAGATGCTGAGAAGCAGAAGGACCGGCAGCACCACTGCTGCCGCGTTCACCGACCCTTCATCGGCATCGTCCACTGATATGATGATCACTTCCGTTTCGTCTGGGCGGCCCCCTGAGCTACATCCCATCCAGTCCCGTAGCACCGACTTAGGATACCCTGGCTCCACCTTCAGCTTCTCGTTGTTGAATTTCCAGTAACGATCCCCCTTGTAAAAGTAGGTGAAAGCTGTACGGGAAGTAGGGTGGACAGACAAGAAAGCGGGCGTTAGCCGTATCCTGGCAAGAAAGGAAAGAGCCCTCCAATGCTCCCTCTAAGCTGTGGAGTCTTGTGAGCAAAAATCCTACTTTTGTGAGCTGCTGGCATTTAAGTTGTGAGCGAGCGATCTGGCTGCTGCATAAATTAGTTTGCTCTGGAGCCCTCCTTCCGGAGCGAAGACAAAAATGTGTGCGCCAAAGGCTTAAAAAACTGTGAGCTGGCTCACACTAACTCAGCTTAGCGGGAACACTGGAGCCCTCAAAAATAATATTGGAGGCCCGAGACATTTATCTCCAAGGAAACTTGGGAGAGTTGTGGCAGGTGACCATTTGGACTCTTGTAGGGTTGCCAACTTCCACTTGGGAAATACCTGGAGATTTGGGGGTACAGACTGGGAAGGACTGGGTTTGGGGCAGGGAGAGGCCTCAGCAGGATATAGTGCCATCGACTCAACACTCCAAAGCAGCCATGTTCTCCCAGTGAACTGATCTCTGTCGTCTGAACAGCCATTGTAATTCCAGGCGATCTCAAGCCCCCACCTGGAGATTTGCAACCCAAACAGTGTGTTGTTGTTGTTGTTTTTTAAAGCAACTAACTTTAAAAGATTTTTAATTTCCAAATTGAGAATGCTGAAAACAACATTTTATTTCAGGGGCCCGCCGGAAACAAACCAAACAAAGCCTGCATTTCTTGGCGAACCTTTGACGTTAAAATGTACTTTTACGATACCATTTTCAGTAGCAATAAAAGTATTCAGAACCCAGATTATTTGCCTGAGGCCCTGCTTCTGAACATGTTTGTCACTTTATTCCACATGCAAATTATAAAGGCAAAATTTTATTTCATCTGGATAATTCAGAGGAAAAATACTATTTCCCAATAGACATTTTCGTTATTTTGAAAGCAAACATTTTCATTTCACATGAGAAATTTGTATGATGGGTTCCAAGTCCTCCAGCTTAAGGCTGGCTTTTCAATGCTAATAATAATAATGATGATGATAATAATACGAAGAAGTAGTAGTAATAGTATTCAGGGGTCATTTCCTGCAGGAGCGCACAGGAGCGGAGCTCCGGCAGTAAAGAGCCCAGGGGCGGGCACATGCAACAAGCCCCGCCCCCTGCTCCCAGCAGCCCTCAGTCAGAGCAAGAAGCAGCCAGGTAAGTTGCAGAGCCCCACCCCCACCCCCCAGGCCAAGACAGTCCAGTGGCACCTTTAAGACCAGGTTTTATTCAGGTACAAGCTCTCCCTCCTCTGCGAGGACAGATCTGCACGTCCCCCCCCCCCAATAGCTAGCAATCCAAAACAGTCCAGTGGAGCCTGAGCGCTGGGTGTTGCCTTCTGACATACTTCCGGTGATGTCAGGGGGTGTGGCATATGCAAATAAGTTATGCTAATGAGTTATGCTAATTAGCTCCTGCGCCTCTTTTTCTACGAAATGACCCCTGATAGTATTGTATGGCATTGTGTGGTATAGCTGTCTGGCAGTCTTAAGTTCTAGCTCTTTTAGCATTATGCACCACTAGGTGGCAAGCTAGACTTATTTGGGGGGGGCTGAGAGAGCTCTGAGAGCTGTGACTGACCCAAGGTCACCCAGCTGGCTTCATGTGGAAGAGTGCAGAAACGAACCTGGTTCTCCAGACTAGAGTCCGCCGCGCTTAACCACTACACCATGCTGGCTCTGCAACTGATAATACTTTTTTTTAAATCGTGACAAATCCCAGAGGCGTAACAGTATTAATCCATGTATCAGAATGAGGAAACAGCAAGGGGGCAGGATTCGGAGGGGAGCGAACGGATGCTCTTTGTGAATGCACCCCTTCACTGCAAAACCTCCCGCAAGTAAAAAACCAGGATATCAAGAAGCAGGCTAGGACAGACTCTTTCTCTCCGATGCAATAAGCTGTTAATTGCAGGGGGGGGGTGTTGGGTTTTTTTACATGGGGGAGCATGCACAAAAGGCATCCTTCACATCCAGTCTGTCACTTCAGGATTCTATCTTTCTGGTTTTGTAGACCACAGAGAAGTCTTGCAGGACCTTAAAACTGGGGACCCCGATACCGTGTCCATGGGCATCACGGCTCCCCTAGAGATGTGAACTAGAAAAAGACAAAAGAAATGCTAATGTAGCATTTTTGTCAATTTTTCCAAAAAAATTCCATTTCCCCCCCAAAAAACCCGGGTTTTTTTCCAAGCTTCAAAATTTCTGGAAATTTTACATCTCTAGCTCCCGCTAACACCTTTCCTGGTGCCCACCACATGTTCTTAGAAAGTAGCATTCCTTGGAGGTTGCCCTTCCAAATACTACCCAACGCTGACCCTGCTTAGCTTCCGAGATCTAACGGGGTCGGGCTATCCTGGACTACTCAGGTCCTCTCACACACCTGATGGCCAGCAGTGGCTTTCTAGGATCTCAGGGAGAGATGAGGTCCTTCAACTGCAGGTGCCAGAGATTGATTAAGTAGGCTCTAGCGACACCATCAATCTGCCAGCCTTTGAGGTGCCATCTCCCACTTTTATCTTAAAACCCATCCTCGGCGCTGCAAAACAGTGATTCATATCATAAAGGCTCTGTTCATTTATTAATGCACTAATACCCGTTGTCATCCCTGAATCATTTTTATGAATATACACTGACTCGACGACGGCAGTCAGTTATAGATCCGTGACAACCTCCCGTGATGGCTCAAAGGATGATTAACGACTAGGAAAAGGCCCTTTCTAATAGGCAGAGGGAGAACTTGGCTGTATATGGACACACGGTGCTGCCAGTCAGAGTTAGACCAGTAGTCCACCTAGTTCAAGATTGTCTCCTCTGGTCGACAGTGGCTCGCTAGAGACTGAGTGTTTTCACATGGGTTATTTCCCTCAAGTCTGATGCTGTTGGCAATTTTTTTAAACTGCTTCCCCACAGCATTGTGGTGCACTTGTGCACCTCCCAAAGGTTCCTGGGTTTCCCCTCAATCTTTCCCACACCTGCTTTGCTCGGAAGTTCTGGAAAAGATCACACCAAAGCCGGGACTGGATGCAGGGTGGGTGAGAGACTTGGGATCTGCCCAGTACTGCCAACATGGCGGCCATTTTCCCCATGACAGCCATTTCCTCTCCCTGGGGAAATTTATTTAGAAAAACTGAATAGTATTCTATCAATATACCCAGGGGCAGGGCTCTTTTTGTAGAAAAAGCCCAGCAGGAACTCATTAGCTTAATAGGCCACACCCAACACCAGAAACTCATTAGCATATTAGGCCACACCCCTGACAGCACAGCTCATTAGCACATAAGGCCGCACCCCCATGTTACCAGAAGTGTGGTTATTCAGCCACACCCACCTTTTGCTTGTTATTCTGTTTTTTGTAGCAGGAACTCCTTTGCATGTTAGGCCACACACCCCTAATGTAGCCAATCCTAATGAGTTTCTGCTGTTGGGTGTGGCCTATTATGCTAATGAGTTCCTGCTGGGCGTGGCCAACTTGGGAGCCAGCCGGAACTCCGTTCCTGTGCGTTCCTGCCCCAAAATAGCCCTGCCCAGGGGTCATTTCGTAGAAAAAGAGGTGCAGGAGCTCATTGCATAACTTATTAGCATGACTTATTTGCATATACCACACCCCCTGACATCATCGGAAGTGTGTCAGAAGGCAACACCCACCGCTCAGGCTCCACTGTACTGTTTTGGATTGCTAGCTATGGGGGGGGGACACACACGCAGATCTGCTCTCACAGAGGAGGGAGAGCTGAAGGCGGGCCGGGGCTTGTTGCATGTGCCTGCCCTCTGAGCTCCTTACTGCCGGAGCTCCGCTCCCGTGCGCTCCTGCAGGCAATGACCCCTGAATACACCGTTACGCCAACATGCGTATCAAGTTCCCTGAATTCTCAGTTTTCATTTTTAAAAGTAAGTCTCGATCTCCTTTCACTGCAGAGATGTAATGGTACGGGAATGTCTCCGCCAGAAAAGAGGCTTGAGACTTACTTTTAAAAAATGAAAGCTGGGAATTCAAAGAACCTGATCCATGTGTTGGTAGAATCGTATGATCAATATGAATTTAACCAACATTTTTTTAAAAATTACACTACTAGGGAAACCTGCTGTGTGGAAGCCTTGTGAGTACCCCCCACCCACTCCCCCACCTCTCTCATTTCCCTTCTTACCTTCATCGCTGCCCATGAAAGCTCCCCGCGGTGCTTCAGGGATCCCTTCCCAGACATCAATGTTCTTGGGGTAATCGGCATCGACAGACCGAGTCTCCTCGTTGAAGCGGTAATACCTGAGTAATAAAGAGAACGTTGTGATAGACTTTGTTAGATTTCAGGGGGTAGACAGGGACAAGGTGAGGTAAACCGGTTCTCTTCTGTACAGATGCCCCTAATATGACGAGAAAGATGATAGCAGTGTTCCCTCTAAGCTGAGTTAGTGTGAGCTAGCTCACAGTTTTTTAGCCTCCGGCTCAGACATTTTTCTCTTAGCTCAGGAAGGAGGGCTCCAGAGCAAACTAATGTATGCAGTAGCCAAATCATTTGCTCACAACTTTAATGCCAGAAGCTCACAAAGCAGAATTTTTGCTCACAAGACTCCACGACTTAGAGGGAACATTGGCAATGACTACCCATTCTTCCAACAACACCACAGCTTGCCAGGCACTGCGTAACATATTCCTCACCTGCATAACTGAGCAGGCGATTCAGGTGGCTTTCAGAAAGGCTAACTCTAGATTAATAGAGGCTAAGACTGTCAGTGGTGATGGAACCTCCCTATGCAGAGGCAGTATACCTCTGAGTATCAGACAATAGGGACACGCAAGGGAAGGCAATCAGTTTCACACGCTGCTTCTGAGCTTTTAGGGGATGTTCTCTGGCTGCTACTTGGGACTAGAAAGACCTTTGGTCCAACCCTGCAAGGCAGTTGTTGGGAAGCCTTAAATAATATTTCTGTAATGTAAAGGTCAAAGAAGACGGGGACGGCAAAGGATGAGATGGTTAGACAGTGTCATAGATGCAACGAACATGAAGTTGAGCAAACTTCAGAGGACGGCGGAAGACCGGAAGGCCTGGCGTGATCTGGTCCATGGGGTCGCGAAGAGTCGGACTCGACTGTGCAACTGAACAACAACAAATGCAATTCCAGCCCCATTTACTCAGAAGTAGGCTCAGGTGATTGCAGGGGTACATTCCTCGGTGACTGACTAACTGCAGGCCGAGCTAAGCCTTTGGTCTTGTGTCATTGCAGAAATACTTTTGTTTTGGCCAGAACGCTATCTGCGATGTGGTTTTACCAGTAACTTTGGTATTCGGTATGGCATTTCAGCATTTTTTTTAAAATCAACCTTCTAGCCCATAAGGCTATGAGGACAGGTTTGAAAATAGGCCAAGCGAAATCCAAAGCCAGAGGGAGGAGTAAGAAGGACTGCGGGGGACGACAGGATCACCTGCTTGTTTATCAGCCCACTCTAGCCCAAGAGCTCAGAGCAGATCACAAAAGCCTTTTCAAACAATCGCCACATGGAAAGTAAAACTACCGCCCACTCAAAAGGACTCACAGTTCAACTCATTCCATTTCCACTCCTGCACAATTCAACAGATTCTTCTTCTTCCCCACAAGCTCAACGGGTACCCACTGAGAAGCGACAGTATGCATCTCCTCCGGCCCTTTCCATTTGGAGCCATTGTGGGGCAGTGCTTAGAGCAGGGGGTGTCAAACATAAGGCCCGGGGGCCAGAACTGGCCCATCCAGGGTTCTTACCCGGCCCGCAAGCAACTGGTATGGATAGAAATGTAAGGTACTCCCCCTTTTATGGTTGGAAAAAACCTGGTCTTGGGTATGATTAAATACATTTATTGGGGCTTTTGTGAGTTCCCCAGTAAACCGATGGCTTTCATTGCTAGGAATCAATTGCTTTTGTTTGTGTTTTGAGTTAAAGATAATATTGTTAATTGGGTTTGCCTGTGTCCTTTATAAAGTTTGTATCTCCAGGACCCGGCATTACATTTTAAGGTACACATGGCCTGGCCCGATAAAGTGACATTTATGTCAGATCCGGCCCTCGTAACAAATGAGTTTGACACCCTGGGGTTAGAGTGTCAAAAGGAGACCCAGGTTCAAACCCTTGCTCCGCCACGGGAGCTTACTATAGGCGACCTTGGGCCTGTCACACTCTCTCAGCCTAACCTACCTCACAGGTAGTATCTGACGAAGTATCTGAGGTAGTATCTAACCTACCTCACAAATGCATCTGACGAAGAGAGCTCTGTTTCTCGAAAGCTTACTGTAATGATTCCTTGTTTTATGTGTGTGTGTGTGTGTCTTTAAAGGTTTGGTTGCATGGCGGTGGTAAGTAGACTAGAGTGGTTGAGAGAAGCAAGTGTGGTGTGATTGGTGGTTGACAGAGAGGGGGAGGGGTTTTGGAAGTGAGAATGAGTGGATATGTCTGTATGTCAGTAAGAGGTTACAGTTACATGTTGACAGTTGATAAGTTCGGTTAGTTCTGAGTTTTGTGAGAGAAGCTGAGGGAAGTTCAGTTTGCTCTAAGTTCTGTGTGGGGAATGAGTTAGACAAGCTGTTAGTTCTGTATATGAAGGAAGTTACAAAGAAAAAGAAAAAGTAAATGAAAGTTTAATTGAAGACAAATTATAGGAAAGGCTGTATGTCCTGATATCTTGGAGAGAAACAGTGAACTTATAAGACCTTGAGTTAAAGTGTTACAAAGTTACCTGAAAGATCCCTGTCAGTAAGGAAGCAGATCTTGTGTGAGACACCAAGCAATTGTTCAAAATATTCACATTACTGGTTACATTGTGCATAAAGGTTTGGAAAGCCTTAAATTTCCTGGTGGCAGCCAGATATACCCAGTAGAATAAAATAAGGAACACTTTTAAAGGGAAACCAGTCCTCCAGCATAAGGAGGTCGTCACACTTACACTACCATAAAGTTTGTTAGTCTTAAAGGTGCGACTGGGCTTTTTACTGTTTTGCGGCAACAGACTAGCATGTCTAACTCCTCTGGATCTATCTATCTCACAGGGTGGTTGTGAGAATAAAATGGAGGCAAGGAGAGCGTTGAAAGTTGCTTTGGGTGCCCACTGGGGAGAAATGAAGTAAGTAAATTTAACCTTCTTGCTCACCCCGTCCACTGGGGTGCAGGAGGTGATACTCTTGCAAAGACAATGGTGGGAAGAGTCAGGGATCAGGACCGTGGGAGGAGCCACACCCTCCACCGACAGCCCTAGTAACCAGCCCACTGATCTCACTGATGTGAAACTATCGGGGGCCAAAGGGTGATCTTCAGTTACTCACCTGTTGCCCCGGAAGAAGTACGTTTTCCCGCTGGGCACCCAGAAAAGGGCAGCGTCAATCCGGTCCGTGGGAAGCCCTCTGCCCATTTCCTTGATGTGTTTTGGGTAGCCGGGGTCCAAAGAGGCTTCGTTGAAAACCCAGTACTTGTCACCTGCAAGAAGAGAGAGGCAACCCCATTTCCCACAATGCACCAGGGTCCCCCAGGACCGGTTCAGAACCAGAGTCTGGTTCTGTCTGGAGACGGGCCTGCCTACACCATGCCTCAGTTCAGCCTCAACTTTACAGAAGAGCCAGGGGCAGCTAACAGAAAGGAGAACCCATCTGTCGGCAGGAAACCCGTACGGCCGAGGCCTCGTTCACGCAAGAGAACAAGGTGGGAGTGACATGACAGAGTCCCAAGGGCACAGAAAAGACTGCATCCCTTCAAGCAGCAGGGGGTGGATCCCAGTTTCAAAAGCCCCTTTCTCTTTTGAAGAAACCTCCCTGAAAACAGAAAACTAGCATAACATAAGAACATCAGAGACGCCAATGTTGGATCAGGCCAAAGGCCCATCCAGTCCAACACTCTGTAGCACACAGTGGCCAGAAATACCAGTGCCATCAGGAGGTCCACCAGTGGGGCCAGGACATTAGAAGCCCTCCCACTGTTGACCCCCCCAAGCACCAAGAAGACAGAGCATCACTTGCCCCAGAGCCCCTCTCTATACCTTGTGGCTAATAGCCCCTGATGGACCTCTGCTCCTTATGCTTATCTAATTCCCTTTTGAAGCTGTCCATGCTTATAGCCGCGACCACTTCCTGTGGCAGTGAATTCCATGTGTTAATCACTCTTTGGGTGAAGAAGGACTTCCTTTTATCTGTTCTAACCCGACCGATCAGCAATTTCATGGAGTGCCCACGAGTTCTTGCATTGTGAGAAAGGGAGAAAAGTACCTTTTCCTCTACCTGCTCTATCCCATGCATAATCTTATAAACCTCAATCATGTCTCCTCTCAATCGTCGTTACTCCAAGCTAAAGAGCCCTAAGCGCTTTAACCTTTCCTCATAGGGAAAGTGTTCCAACCCTTTGATCATTCGAGTCGCCCTTTTCTGCACTTTTCCCAAAGCTATAATATCCTTTTTAAGGTGTGGTGACCAGAACTGCACACAGTATTCCAAATGAATAGGAGAGAAAGACTCCGAGCTAGGGGTTGCCACCTTCAGGTTGGGGAAAACCCAGCGATTTGGGAGGGGGACGCCTGAGCAGGGTGGGGTTCGGGGAGGGGGAGAGACTTCAGTGAGGTATGGTGCCATAGAGTTCACCTTCCAAAGCGGCGGCCAATTTCTCCTGGTGCACTGATCTCAGTTGCCTGGAGATCAGGTGAAATCCCAGGAGATCTCCAGCCCACAACTGGAGGTTGGCAACCCTACTCCACGCCTTCTCTTGGCTCATGGAGCTGGTTTTCTGTGTGCAAGGAGGTTTTCACAAAACGTGGCCTTCCGCTTGCTGACTGACTGAAACCTGCCACTGCATTTCCCGACGTGCCCGGACGTGGCCTGAGATGTTTCCTTGCCCCACGCCGCCCCCCCTCACCCCGTCTCCTTTCTCCTGCGTCTCTCCTGCAAGAGAAGAACGGGTGGAAAGAGATTGTGCAAAATTGCCAGCTGGATGTTGTGTTGGCTGAGACTTCTGCCTCTCTCTCTCTCTGTCTGTGTGCGTGTGTGTATATATAAATCCGTAAGCGAGGCCTGGTGCGCGTGAGCAAAACCCACAAAAATGCAAACACTGTCTCCCTTTGTGCACATCCTCTGACATCAGTGATAAGATTTCGCAAAGGCCCAGGCAAGGCCGGGCCGGGCGGATCAGATTGTACAGCGAAGGATCTCTGGCTTATCCCTCAGCAAATAGTCAGGCACTCCGGCAGTTGCTCCGACTTGTTTTGCCAGGGGAAGAGAAAAAGCCAAGCCACAAATTAGGCCCGGCCTCCTTGTCAATTTCAGCTGGAGACACCCTGACTGGCTGGCTGGCTATCGGCAGCAGCGGGTGATTCACAGAGCTGAAACTACCATGCCTTTAAATTGTTCTACTCGCAGTAATCGAAACGGTATTCCGGGGGAGGGGGAGTAGAAAGTGGGTTCAAAGAGCACGTCGGCTCTCCAAAAAGAATCCCAGGAGGGCCTGACAGCCCTCCAAAATAAAACCCCCGCCCTAAATCTCGTTTACCTTTAAAGAATACAAATTTCCCGTCCTTCCTCTCATAAGCTGTGTTGATTGTTGAGGGGAGGCCGACCCAGAACTGGCCGATGGGTAGAGGGTACCCCTCCATCACACGATTGTTCCGGACCCGCCAAAACCATTTGTCCTGGAAAAGCGTAAATTTCGGGAGGGAGCTGGTGTTAAAAGTTATCCAAAATGGTGAAAAAAAGCAAAATAAAAATTACAGAATGCATTAAGCGGATTACCCTTGCTGCCGTTGTGACTGCTATTGTTGTTATTATTAAAACAACACAATAGGAGCGATACGCAACAAGATATATGTCACAAAAACGGTATGTGTAAAATGCAGTAAGAACCGGGTTTCAAAATTAAGAGACGACGCTGGGAAAACTGAACCAGGCTTACAAAATGGAAGAGAAAAGCAACAAAATGATATCGTCTATGCTGAGGGGTCTCCAACGTTTCTGAGCCTGGGGGCGCTTCTGGAACTCTGACATAGCGTAGTGGGTGCAGCCACAAAATGGCGGACACAAAATGGCTTCTGCAGGAGGTGGAGCCTGCCACAAAATGGCTGCTGCGACTTACCTTTTGTCACACCATTACGATTCTTGTGCTGTGGTGGCAGCTGCTGCCAAAGCGATGTTTTTAAAAATCTGTACAGCCAAACAAATCAAACGCTGCCCAGGGGCACCACGTTGTGGACCCCTGATCTATACAATAAATAATACAATGAAAACTGCTTAAAGCTTCTGCAGAATTACAGAAGCGTTTGAACATTCTCGACTTCCTCAGGCAAATCAGTCCACCATGTGGGAGCAAAATAAGAAAGCAATTTGACAGCCGGACTTCACTGATAGAATTTACACCGAGATGAAGATTTAAAAAAACCAAAAACCCTGAAGATATAATATTATTGGATTGGCTGGACATAGATCAGACAGAACACTGGTGATGAGCCCCTCCCTTTTTTTGTCTCCCCTGTCAAACTGTAACCTCCTTGGGGCAGGGAGTAAAACTCCACGCATGTTGATGGCACTATATAAATCAATAACTGTTAGGGCTCTTTTTGTAGCAGGAAGCTCTTGGAGGATTGGCTACATTAGGGGTGTGTCGCCTAATATGCAAAGGAGTTCCTGCTACAAAAAGAGCCCATTGTCTGTTACTATCACGGTATCAATAATAAATAACTGGATGTGGAAACAAACTGGGCTTACATTTCATTTAAAAGAAAACGAACATGTTTCCTCAGGGCAGGAGAAGACAAGCTTGAAAACGCATGAGTGCTACCTGATTAAAATTTCAGTAGGAGAGTGATTTGAGAAGGAATCAGTGGTCCAGAGGATGGGCCACAAAATATTGTCTATAATCACGACCGGCAGAAGCAGACTAAATTATGCAGTGTGAGCAGATTTTGCCAAGATTTGCTAAATTTGCACATCTTATACAAGCTGCAGAGCCCAGCTTTCTGTTTCCTTTTTATTTCTGCACAACACAGTTGAGCAAAAAGACAGGTGGGCGGCTCTGAAGCAGGACAGACACGCACGTCCCCCCCCCCAAACTCCCCCCTCCTTCGCTCTGCCTGTCCCCACAAAGCCTCACCTTGAAGACAAACATCTCGCCCCGCAGCACACCGATGGTGTCAAATTTTCCATCGCAGATGTTGGGGCCAAACGGCGGGTTGTGGGGGGGGCGGTCTGGGACGTCGGGCTTCGCAGTCGTGCGGGGGACCGGTGGAGGTTTACTGGGTGAGCCGCTTTCAGTTCCTGGAGAGAAGGATGGAAGGGTTTAATCTTAACCCCTTTTGAGGTAGGGTAGAGCAGAGAAGAAGACAGAGAAATGGACAACTAAAGATATTAGGAGTTAATGTCAGAACTGGCTGTTGGAGCACTTTTACTTTGGAGCAAACTGTGGCCACCAGTGGTACATAAGGAAGCTACTGGAATTATTTTTTAAAAAAAGTTATTAACCATAATAACTGAAAAGAGACACTCTTTACTAATGTATAATATCTCTGCCCTGACTTGGATAGTCCAGGTAGCCCAATCTCAGCAGATCTCAGAAGCTAAGCAGGGTCGGCCCTGGTTAGTATCTAGGTGGGGAGCCCCCAAGGAAGACTGGGGTTCCTACGCAGAGGCAGGCAATGGCAGACCACCTCTGTTCCTCTTTTGCCTTGAAAACCCTACGGGGTTACCATAAGTTGGCTAGGACTTGGTGACACTTTCTACCACCACCAGGGGTCATTTCCTGCAGGAGCGCACAGGAGCGGAGCTCCGGCAGTAAAGAGCCCAGGTGGGCGGGCACATGCAACAAGCCCCACCCCCTGCTCCCAGCAGCCCTCAGTCAGAGCAAGAAGCAGCCAGGTGAGTTGCAGAGCCGCCACCCCACCCCCCAATGCAATCCAAAACAGTCCAGTGGAGCCTGAGCAGTGGTGTTGCCTTCTGACACACTTCCAGTGATGTCAGGGGGTGTGGCATATGCAAATAAGTTATGCTAATGAGATACGCTAATGAGCTCCTGCACCTCTTTTTCTACTAAATGTCCCCTGACCACCACCCTGGTTTCTCTGGCTACCAGACGCCTGAGGGCAAAACTGCAGTCTGTCTCCATCAAGGCCTGCATCGTTCACAGCGTGAAATCCACTTCTCTCAGACCGAGCTAATAAAAGCAGCTCTGACTGGCTGAAAAGAGAAGCCCTCACGAATGGTTGAGATTTTGTGGCGAGGCAGGCCACAAAAACATGGCCACCTCCCTCTTGGGACTCACTCCGTCGGGCACTGCGGAGGGAAAAGTTGACGTCAGCAGCCAGAGCATTGATTTTGGCCACCGGCCTGTCTGTACAACTTCGCTCAGAGACACCGAAGGAGTAGGAAAATGGGGACGGTTTTCAGGAGTCAGAGGTCACAATGGGGTCGAGAGAGGGCCATACCGTACAGCTGCTGTATGCCACGCCGGTCGTCCTCAGGCAGCTCAAAGTTTTCGGTGTCCATCCACTGGTAGAAAGGCGCCATGATAGCCGAGGGGTCATTTGAATGTTCCAAGCCGAGTGCGTGGCCAAGCTCATGAACGGCGACTAGGAAAATGTGATTTCCTGTGTGGGTTAAAACAGGAAAACGTCAGAAATTACAACCTTCCCCCACCGTTCAAAATTATTTATTATCACACTGATGTCCCAGAATGTTTTCTATTGGGTTACTCAAGATGGTATACACCAGGGGGCCCCAACACAATGCTTGTGAGCACCACAACACCCATGCCGACCCCTTTCCTGGTGCTCTTCACATGTTTTTAGAACCGGCAGGGCCAGATGGGACTTTTGCCCAACAAGGCTTCTGGTTGACCATTGGAGATCTGACCGTATGGGCAGACTGCTGCTTCGGCTGCAGCTGCCACCACGGCACACGGATCTTCACTGTGCGGCTGAAGGTAAGCTGCGGCGGCCATTTTGTGGCTGTGCCCCACCAAACTGTGTCAGAGTTCCAGAGGTGCCTGCAGGCTTAAAATGGCGGGGGACCGCTGGAGAACACTCCCGGGACACTCAACTGGGCAATGACCAGATGTAGACCGGCTTAGCTTCAACAAGATGGCGGCCTCATGAGTTCTTGGGTCTCTTAGTTAACAGCAGCCAGTCATCTGTCCTGCAAGGCATTCTGAATCCCCTGGAGGATGCTGATTAAATCAAATAGTGCAGAAATCTTGGGGAGGGCACACTTTCCATTATGGAGAACCCGGGACCATTTGGCATAGGAGGAGGAGATTGGATTTATACCCTCCCCTTCACTCGGAGTCTCAGAGTGGCTTACAATCTCCTTTCCCTTCCTCTCCCCACAACAGACATCCTGTGAGGTAGGTGGGGCTGAGAGAGCTCTGAGAGAAGTACTCTTGAGAGAACAGCTCTGAGAGAACTGGGAGTGACCCAAGGTCGCCCAGCTGGCTGCATGTGGAGGAGTGGGGAATCAAACACCGTTCTCCAGATTAGAGTCCGCCGCTCTTAACCACTACACCAAACTGGTTTGGGGAATCCCTGGAGATTTGGGGGACGGAATCTGGGGAAGGCAGAATTTGGAGAGGAGAAGGAAGAAGAAGAAGAAGAGATTGGATTTACACCCCGCCCTTCACTCAGGGTCTCAGAGCAGCCTACAACCACCTCCCCTTCCTCTCCTCACAACAGACTAAAAGATTACAGGTTCATTTCTCCCTTTTGCAACGTTAATGCTGACCCAATCCGAGAGAATAAGAAAGCGAATAAGAAACTGGAGTGCTTTTTGTCTGAGCAAGTCTCCCTTCTTGCTTCACACACAGCGAGCGACATCACGGGTTCCAAGAATTTGGGAACTGGAAAGAGGAAGCCCTGAGGCAGCTCGAGCCGATGAATCGGCGAGCCGGGGATTGCCCACCAGTTCCTTCTCCGCCGCCTCTCACGCTGCTCTGTGACTCAGGCGCACGGATGTCTTCTTCATATCCTGCATCGTTCACCGACAAACGCACACATTCCTCCGCCCCTCCCCGCTGATCTCCCCTACTCTCTCCCAGAACTACAACCGATCTCCTCCGGGCGACAGAGATCGGTTCCCCTGGAGGAGATGGCGGCGTTGGAGGGAAGACTCTCTTCAGTTCTCTCAGAGCTCTCTCAGCCCCACTTACCTCACAGGCAGTGTTCCCTCTAAGCTGAGTTGGTGTGAGCTAGCTCACAGTTTTTTAGCCCCCTGCTCACAGATTTATCCCTTCGCTCAGGAAGGAGGGCCCTATGCAACAGCCAGATTGCTCGCTCACAACTTTAATGCCAGTAGTTCACAAAGTAGAAGCTTTGCTCACAGGACTCCACAGCTTAAAGGGAACATTGCTCACAGGGTGTCTGTCGTGAGGAAGGGAAGGTGATTCTAAGCCGCTCTGAGACTCTGCGTGAAGGGCGGGGTGTAAATCCCACTCTTCTTCTTCTTCTTCTTCCCTCCCCTCTCCAAATTCTGCCTTCCCCGGGCTCCAGCCCCCACATCTCCAGGTATTCCCCCAAGCCAAAGATGGCGACCTTAACAAGCGTCTCACCAGTATAGTCGTCGTTGCGTGACGTCCAAGGCTCGGCGGCATCAAAGTGGGTGTCCCCGCCTATGTGGGGCCCCGGGAAATAGGCGTGAGCCAAGAAGCCCCCTTCGCCATCGAAGGGGGTGCTGTCCCCGTGGAAACCCTCCGCGAAGAAGATCATGATGTCCGCCTGCTGTTCGCGGCCTTCGCGCACGGCCGAGTACGGGACCTCGCGGAAGCGCAGCGGCGTCACCGACTGCCACACGCTGAAGGCCCGCCGGATGGCGCTGAAGGTAGCCTGCTCACCCACCTTGGGCGTATAGTTCTGGATGCTGCAGCGGAGACAGAGGTTGAGTTCCGGTTCCCTAGGGTGGCCTCACCTTGACGCAAACACTGACAGAGGTCTTATTGACCCCAGAGATGTGGTACTCCAAATCCCGGAGCCTCCTTCCAGCGCCACAGAGCTCTCCCCTGCACATGACCGACTGCCCACATCTTCGCCCAACCTCACTGCCTGCCCACACCCTCCAATCTTCCTCGGGCTCCTAAGTTTCCCCTCTTTCTCAGCCACAAGTTACATTTTTCCTCCCGTGGGCAGAAATCGCACAAGGTAGACTATGAGCCAGACAGATCACCTGAAAGGACTATGACTCCCTTTCTTCCTCTGTCTGCTCTTTTGGGAGATCTGAAAGCCATTGAAAGACCGGGCAGGAGACATGAGATCTTTTCCCCTCCCCCGAAATCTGAGAACCTGACTTCACGGCGCAAAACCTGATGGATTATTTGGGGTCCTGGAATTTCGTTAAGTGCCTCGTCCTGAAATTTTGCACGCTCGGTTGGGTGTCAAAGATTAAGAGAGGGGCTGTAGTCAAGGACAGAGCATCTGTTTGGTATGCAGAAGGTCCCAGGTTCAGTCCCCAACATCTCCATGTCAAAAGATCAGGTTGGAGGTGATGTGAAAGACCTCCGCCTAAGACCTTGGAGAGCTGCTGCCCGTCTGAGTAGACAATACTGATCTCCACGGACCTACAGTCTGATTCAGTATAAGGCAGCTCATGTGTTCAAAGATACTGGGGGGCTTCTATTAATTGGCTGGGGGTCTCCGCATTGGTCCCTCCACCAATTTCCATCACCCGCATTCTGGAGCTCATTTGCCCTTCCTAAAACTGACGTGTTTCTTTTCCTGTCTTATACCACAAAATTTTACAGTATCAAAAAAACCCCACTCAGATTTCATCACCAAAAATGATGTAACTGAAGTGTCTACAAACAAGTCGACTAATTTGTTCCTTCTTCTGGTAATTGATCAGGGTATTTCCCCCTTCGCAGGGACTTTTTCTTTTTTTTTTTCTCATTAACATTTTATTGGTAGGATTAAAACAATAAAACGAATATAACAATAAAAATATACATAAGGGTCATAAGAACAGTTATACATTCAAACCAACACACTAATTACAAAAAAGTAAGCTTTAAAGAATGATACATTCTTCAATAAATCTTTGAACAAAGTGACTTATTTTAGCCTCAATTTGTAATTGATGCCTGTACTGTTTACTTTTATCCTGTCTGACTTCCACCATCGATGCCGTCTCAAAGATTATTCCCTCTCCCTCCCCACCCTCAGCCTCCTTCCCCACATCTGGCCCCTCACCCTCTTCCAAATCTCACCAAAAACTGATTTCGTAGTGCGACCATTTTAGCCCCTGGATGGCGTAGCGCTTGCGCCGTACATTGGCCTTGATCTCTGCTCCGAATTTATCTGGGACGCCGCAGCGGGGTCTCTTCATAGCTCTGAAAGAAAGGGGAAGCATTTAAGGTTTCGACTGCCCCTAAGGCTGTAGGGCTTTTATGCTCCATCTCTCGCCGTTGCACAAAATGTCTAGTTACTAATCCGCAACCACCTGGTATAAATCTCAACAAACGCCCTGAGATACCCAGACTGCCTGGCGTTCTGGCCAGGGTTTTGACATGGCCACTGTTAGAATATTTTCAGCCTGACCTAGAGGCACCTCTGCTATAAGGCAAGCTGAAGCAACTGCCTGAAGGTGACAGATGTCAGGGGCCACCGAGGCGGGACAAAGACTCATTAAGACCTAGGACCCGGGGTCATTTAGTAGAAAAAGAGGTGCAGGAGCTCATTAGCATAACTTATTGGCATAACTTATTTGCATATGCCACACCCCCTGACATGACCGGAAGTGTGTCAGAAGGCAACACCCACCACTCAGGCTCCACTGGACTGTTTTGGATTGCTAGCTATGGGGGGGGGGGGGGAGCGTGGGGATCTGTACTC